CAATATTTACAACAAGTCTGAAATAAACAAGTATAGCTTAATTTTTTTCGACGTAACACAGGTTAAAGCTATTTAAGCAAGAATGGAAGATCTGGGCGGTTCCGGCGCGGGTTCCGGAGCGGCGGGTTCCGCAGCGGTCCAAGAAGGTTCCGCAGCGGGTCTCGAACAGGTTCGGAGTAGATTCCCGGAAAAAGTGCCAGGGCGGGTGCAGGAGCGGGTTTCCGCAACGGGTGCAAATCATTTTTGTTGAAGTTACACATTTGTTGAAAACTTGCGAGTTTTGTAATTTTCAACATTAAAAGTTGCAACAAAGCGTAAAAATATGAAGTTTTCCTGTTTTGTATTGTTTGCAGGATTCGAAGTGAATGGAACGAACTAAGGAAAAAATTTTGATTGCAACTTGAACGAAAGGGGAGTAATTTGTTTGACTGCAACTTCAAGGCTTTGTGTCACTTGAAATTCACAACAATACGCTTCATATACACAGCATTTTTCCTTTAAATGGTGCAGTGCTACAAACAGCGATGTCCCTGTTTCAAATAGCTACTGCAAATTTTATATAATTCTCAAGACGATGGTGACGTTTTGCTTGAAATCGGCGAGCTTTGAAACCACATTTTCATTCCACCAAATAAAGCCTTGTGCATGACAGGAGCTTCCTCAATACCTGCATATTTTTTGTTTTCGTTAACCGCTATTTTGTGACAAAAAAAATTTGCAAAGGTTTGCTTTTGTTTTTATTGCGGTTTGAACAACAAGATTGGGGCTTCCAGACATTTTTGAAAAAGGCAATGGTAATTCCAAGATTCACGCTAATATTTGGAGCAAAATGCACGTCTCAATAAACGACACCGCCGGCTCGAGAAACTGCATTTTTTATATATTGTATTTCAGACGTTTTTTTTCAAAAAACAAGTTTTTCTTTTCTGTCCACCTTCATCAAAAAAAATTCTTCAAAATTTTTGTGAAGACACGACTTGCCAATAACCAATATTTCATTCAAAAATTAAACGATTTGTGGGGGTATTTTTGTTGTGTTGCATTCATTTCGGACAACGTTTCGCTCAGCTTTCATTTTGAAAAATAAATTTTAGCATAAACAAATTCCGCCACGTGGGATTTCACTCGTATGAACTGTATGTGACTTAGCCGAAACTGACGAGAAGAAGCAGTCGTAAATTGTATTGCGTGAATAGACAGCGTTGAATTTGCAAATAAAAGAAATAATGGGAAATCAGAAATATATTCTCATATCAGTCAAATAACGAAATCTGGAAATAATACATATACATACAGATTTGTGATTTAAATAAATATTGTTTATATCAGAAGCGCCCTGGAAGGCAGCGTGGCATTCACGCCTCATCCGCCTCAAAGTCCCGCCGGCGTGGAAAGCACTGTAAGAGCATTTTGGCACAAGACGCAGAAAAGCAGTGGTGATACGAGAGCCCTCATGCTCTGCAAGATGCCAGAATGCCCTGCGAGACCCTTGCGCGGAGCAGAGGCTGGTGGGCTGCAACAGCAGCAGCGCGATCATGCATGCGACGAAACAGTTGCGGCCGGCTCCAGCGGCCACAAGGGAGCCGTGGATATGAGGCGACCACCCCCAATCAAACATATAGGCTATATGGCCTTGTGATTGGGCAGGATCCTGGCCAGTCGAGCGAGCAGCTGCTTCAACTTGCAAGAACAATCCTCATTGGAGGCCGCACCTTGTGAACAGTACCCTTGTTTCTAGCAAAAAACCCGCTTCTGCATCCCGCGCCTGATGAAAGAGACGGACAAAGCGACAGACGGACAGACAGACAGATACTGAACTTTCGCGTGCAAGGGCTGCTCCATAGCACTATATAAGAAAATCCCTGTGATCGATAACCCAAATGAATGGATGAGACACGATTTTCCTATACAAGAATACGAATTGATTGTAACACATATTCTGCATTTGGATTATAAGAGATGAGAAGGTTGCATTCTTTCTCCAAATTTTCCGAAAATTTTCGGTGTCTAAAAAAATACAGAGAAGCGATGATATAAAATTTTTGTTAAAAAACCCAGGCGTCGACCTACCCGAATCCCCAAATTTTCTAAAAATTTCCAAGACTGGGCTTAGCCCGAGACCACTGAAGAAGCCCCGCTTCTTAAAGCTGCAGCCCGAGCTTCTACATTACCGAAAATTTTGGGTCCTGGGTAGGCCAATCCGGCTCGAACATAGAAATCTATAAATTTCTCCAAAATTTTGGAGCCTGGGCGCCCCGAAGCGTGCTGCACTACATAGAACTAGTTTAACCACGGCAAATCATAAATTTTAAGTAGGATTTTTCTAAATCATATAGTATTTTTAATTTTATTATTTCTATTTCTAACTATACTCTAAATCATATATCTTCTAATAAAATACTCCTCATTCTATTGTTTTTGTAAATCAGAAACAAAAGAATATATATATTTATTTTTTTATCTAAAATAAAATAAATAAAGAATTATCTTAGAATAATAATCAAAGATATATATCATTATCTAACTAAACTATACGCGTAATTCCTATTTATAAATCAAAAAAAAATGTCCAATTTCATTCATATTTTACTTCATTCCTTTTTATTTATACTCTCGCAACTCGGACGTCGATAGACGAAGAAATTATTAAACGAAATATAAGAAAAACATTTATATATTCAACGCCTTTATTTTCTTTTGTTCATATCATTCAATACACTAGCACGAAGCGGAACGAAGCAAGAAGGGAACAAAGAGAAAGAGAGAAAGTCCAGATTTGACATAAACTGTATACTCTACAGGAAATCATTAGTTGTAGAATTTTACTACTTGTATGACCTATATTTTTCCATTTCTACTGAACTAATTTCACGGGTCAATATTAATGAAAAATCGTAGCTCAGTCCTAATGATAATTTTATGCAATTATCTTTGACTTACATAATTAGGTCAATGAATAATCAAGAATCCAGGTACATTTACCAATACCCATTTCAGAAAAGTACAATGCCGAACCAGAAGCAAGGTTGGCGTGTTTCTTGATTGCTGGCGCAGCTAGCAGTCTAACAAATGCTATTGACTCTGCGTGTTTCGGGGATTCGAGATTCGGAGTACCTTCAGCAAGAAGCACTGCGCCTAGCTTATTGCATCCGACCGTGCCGTCGCTGGTTGTTTGACAAAGCAAGGGCTTTGGCCCTTCAGACAATAAGCTGCACGTGTGCTGGCTGAAATCCTTGCTTCTTTTTTACGTGCGCCAGCCAAAAATCCTCCAGCCAACCGTTGGTGGCAGCCGTATCTCACGGGCTTGGGCGGCATCCTTGCAGGACATGATGATGCCATGGCAGGAGCCACCACCCTAAACCTTGGAACTTGGGGATGCGAGTCGCTTTAACGATATTCCGCAGCAGCTGGGAAGTCTTCACCAGACCCCGGGCGGAAGGGTAGGAAAGGAATGACGACAAGCTTGCTGTAAGCTGATGTCGACATCGGCTGGTTGGGTTTTCCACAGTGCTGCTGAAACTTTTTTTGACTCCACGACTCAGCGAATGCGTGCTGTATCCTTGCATGTTCAAGCACGTGGCTCTCTAGCCGCCAGGTGCCTCAAGCCAGGGAAGCCCATCCTCACATTCCGTCCCTTCCGAATCAAACGGGAGTCCTGGTTGTATCCACCCGCGAACCCGTTTCTCATCCCGCGGGCTGCAGCAAGCATGTCCTCGGCACGGGGAGCGTGAGTTCGGGGACCGGGATGGTTTGGTCGGTTGGTGAGTCTTGAATTCTTGTCTGTTAAACTGTAGAGACTACAGCACAAGGAGACCCAAGAGAACCTAAGTTTCGATATGCAAGCGTCTATCATGGCGCCGTCGCTCTCGAGCCATGGCGCTTCCTGTTCAGGGTCTGGCGGCAAAAGCAGAAGTGTGGCTTGGAATATCAATCGGAGGCGATCATTACATCAGGGCTGCTCTAGCCAAGCGGCAGGCACGCGACCAGAGCCTGGGTTGGGCTTCCGCTTCTGACCTTCCTCACTTTCCCGCGCCTGGAAAAGGGCAAGCTTGTGGTGAGGCTTCAACAAAAGTTTTTCTCAACCATGCAGGCTGCGTGCCTCCGTCAGGCTTGCCAAAGCTCGCTTGCGTAGGTCGTCCTTTGTTTGTATGAAACTCCCGAAATGATCTTCTGCATACCAGCAAAGCTCGAAGAAGCCAAGGGAAGATCAATACCGGCACCGGATGCAACCGGACGCAAAGCGAAGCACAACTCTGGAACCCGCAGCCTCCCCACCCAAGGGGCCAGGAGTTGCCGCTCTTGGTAGTCCAGTGGAATGCCTTGCTCATTGACGATCTGTGTGTTGATGCGTGGAATAGCTCACAAATCAAAACAGTACTTGGACGACCTTTGCGAGACTCAGGGCTGCAATTGCACTCGAGGAGCCTGCAGCTTCTTTCGCCGTGATGAGCAAGGACAGTTGGCAGCAGGCCACGCCGATGTGGTACCTTAACCACATTGTGGCCAAGCAGAGCACCGGTGTGGCATCACGCTTGCGGTACTGACGTTTTGGAAGCTGCAATAGCGGATCTACCTGATTGAGGGTCAGGTCCGCCGCGAACGTCCCCCGCAAATTCAGGTAAATAGCGAAAGAATCCAGCGAGGCTAAGAGTGAATGTGTTCAAAGGTGGGAGGCTGGCGTGGTAGCCGCCCAGTCCACAACCAGTTCGAAAGCCCCCACGCAGCATCTCGCAGTATGCGCCGCACTCCGGCCAAGGTGCACGCACTGTGGGGAAGAAGGGTGCCTGTCCAGGCAGGCCTGTTACGAGCTCGCGCGACATACGCACATGTCAGTATTAACTCTGCGTAGACTGGGGCAATTCCAGGCCAATGTTCAGCTGGCATCTACGCGGGCACACGCCAAGGCCTCCGAGATGGAAATTGCCTCCTCGAAATGCTTCAGCCGCAGAAAGGCAACCCCCAAGCAGACATAGGGGGCACGGAAGTCTGGATCCAGCAGCCTTTGCTGTGGAAGATTTTGTTGTTTGCGTTAAAAGGAGAGACTTCCAAATCCTTTGGTCTAAGATTGAACAGGTATTCATTCAATTTAACATGGCATAACAAATGAGAAGTCAAACAACTCTATGTTCAAGTCATGGCAAGCATCAGCAAGCATGGAATGGAAGTGTGTTCCTTGCGCCCCATTCCCAAAGCCGACCTTCAAGCCTCAACCGTCCAACTTGTTTAGCTCAACACCCCAGCCCCAGATCTGGGATGGTCAACGCCTAGTCCGGCTGCGTGGCAGGCTCTTGGTCATGAGGCTCACCGCTTCTTGCGGCTTGCCCAGCTCCAGCGCGCACATTCCCAGAAGATACAGAGCATTCGCATTGGAAGGGGAATGCCTGACATGTGGCACGTGACAGAAAAACGGATGGAAACCGTGCCTTCAAGATTCGCGGTAAGGTACAGGCACATGTTACGGGTCCATGGTATTATATCTCCAATTCCTTTGTGGACTGCGCTGTTGCAACTTGGCCGACGGTCCGGAGTTGGGTTTCAAGGTTAGTTTGGGCTGCCGAATATGTGATGTGAGTTGAAGGCGGAGAGGGGTCCCATGCGAAATGGAGGCTTCAAATGTCCGCTAACCCAGCATAACACCACCCTCAGTCGCGAGTGCAGACACTCAGCAGACAAGACAAGATCCGAAGACAACTCAACTCAACACTTGAGCGTTTGCTCTGCCCGGTAGCTTCAGGGACTTCACGAAGTGTCTCTTGGCACCTTCCCAGCGATCCTGTTGAGGGTACTGTCTAACATCTGCGCACTCAGACATTCCAAACAGAAGGGTGGCTTGCTTCGATCTTCGTGACTGGAATAGTCTGGTTTCTTTGAAGACAAGGGATTCAGTTGGTGATGTCTGGTTTGTCGCTTGCATAGCACGATCGAGACCAAACGCTGGGACCTACAGCTCTTAGCCCAAACCCGAGTTCAATCTGAAGCCGCACGTGCCAATCACGACCGCGTCCTTGTTGGCGCTGCGTGCCTCGAGGACCCCATGGCAGCGTGCGAGAAAAGACCTCGGCAGTCTTTCTTTGCGCCTCATCGAAAAGTAGCTTTCCCAGAGGAAGCCTTGAATGATTTTGTGTTGTGAAATGAAAGAAAGCACTTTCAAAACCAGGTTCACCTGGGACAAGCAGAATCAGCATTTACATTCCTCTTCAAGTCCTGTTCGAAGCCATAGGCGGGAGCCCAAGCGTTATCCCGGCTTCCCTCCAAAATGCGCAGAAGCAACTCATCCTTATCCGGTCCCTCTGACACCAGGTGGCTCGACGAAGTGCTTACCACCTCGGTACCAATTTGGGCTGTGAAGCCTTCTTTCTGGATTTCGATTCCCAAGCAACGCTGCCCAACAAGCTTATCATGCGAGGCGACATGAAGGGAGTATAAACCAAGCCTTCTTCGTGTGGCCAAAGCTCACGCAACCCTGCCAACTGGACTTTCAAGGGCTCTGTGGCCAGGTTGGAATGCCCATCAACTCAGAAAAGAAGGGACCTTTGGAAGAGCGATCTGAGCTCATGGCGCTCCTGCATGCTTTTGCTTGCAAGGACTTGGGCATCGTAGAGCCTTGGCTGCTCTTGAAGCCGCTGCTGCTGTCGATCACTAAAACCACGGACCCTAGACTGTGCAAGGTTTGCCCGAACCGGAGTTTGACTGCCGGGGAATGAATTCTTGTCGACTTTCCCCTGGCCCCGTTCTGCGGGATGTCGAGCGGCATCTTCTTCATCCGAGCATGATCACGGTTGCTTACGGCCAAGCCTCGGTGACGCATTGCATTCACACTTCCGAAGTTTCTGACAACGCAACCATGCTATGGCTATGGCTGTGTCCCACCGTGACACGTGCTGAGTTGTCCTTCTATCAATGCACCTTGCTACCACTTCCGTAGTAGCCAACGAAACTTTCAAACGGTGTGCCCTCGAGGCGCGAAAGAAAACCTCGCAGCCCGAGCCCTGTACACCCAAGAACCGCTCGAAGAACCAGTACGTGAATCAAAAATGAGCACCACAGTGGCGGAAGCGCGGCTTCGGCGGACACGCATGACACTGCAGTAGTGGGAAATTTCAAACTCACAATGTTACCACGCTGCTGGCGGAGTTTGCCTTCTATCGGTACCGAAACAATGCTTCGAATGCTTCTCTCATGTGGCCTCGTTCACCCTCGAAAATAACAAGCTATTGACCAACAAGGGGCGTGCAGTTAAGTATGCAGCGAGCTCCGGGTTCCCATCGTACTGGTCTGACAGCCTCGCTTTTGCGGTTTTCGGCTTTGGGATTTTAGATCTCCTGCAAACTTGCATTGGAATTGTAGTGCAGTTCCACTGACTTTGCCGAAGGCATCTGCGTGCGGTTTCGAGCAAACTTGCGGACAAGTGCAAGAATCAGCTTCAACGCCTAGGGCTGCCTGCAATACCCGAGGACTTGGCAGATACACAGGCCAAAAAGGAACAACCGATGCAACATGAGCATTTTGAAGGAGATCGCACGTCATAGGCGAGGTGTAAATGCCAATCGGCATTTTGGATGTCGGCTCGACTCCGCCGAAAAGTTGCTGGACCGAGTCGCCTCGATTCAGAAGCACTGACACGTGTGAAAAAGAGCCAACGTTGTAAAGTAATTGACCTGCATTTCTGAAACTAGTTTTTGAATAATCCATCACAAGCACGGACTACAAGTTGAACAGTTGGAACCAGCCGCATGATCGGTCGGACAGGCACATGTAGCACTAACCACATGTGTTGATGTGATTACCTATGAACAACTTCCAACTGACGCTCGAGACGGTTGATGGGCTCTAGCCTCGAGGCATCTCAACCGGAAGCTCCACCTGAAGTCTTGATATGAGGCGGTGCTGACCAAAGGACAGCTCCCTTTCGAAAATTCGAGTCCACAAACACCACATTGAGGCACCAGGGGTGCGGAGGGGTGCTGCTGCAGTCCGAGGCGCCAAGGGCGGAGTACACTTCAGCCAGAACCGACGATCGGACTGGTGCAGTGCCAGAGGTCCTTGCTGCACCTTGTGGCTGGTGCAGCACGAAATCGTCTAGGAACCTTCCCTCCCTTCATATCTGAACACACTCAGCAGCCACACGAAAGTGTGGTAGCAGCAGCTCGCTGGCTGAAATCTACGATCGTTGGTTGCGTTGCGGATTCGGGAACTGTGCAGTCAGGCCAGAAGTGCCCAGGCGCTGACGACGCGCTCGCGCAAGTCAGAAGAACACATGTCCCTCTTCGGGAGCTTCCAGTAGCCACCCAGCCAATGCACTGCCAGCTCTTCTGGCTGCGGGATGTCCCCAGGACCTGGCGCGACGTGCTTCCGCCTCTGCGCATCCGTATTTTCCTCGTCTCGTGAGATGGCTCCATTAGGGCTTCTGAAAGCAGGGAGAGCTTCCAGCTTCCAGTGCCTGCGCCTGCATCTTGGGCTCCGTTTTGCTCCCGGGAGCGCTGCCTCGGCTTCGCAGTGCAGTGCAGTGCAGTGCAGTGCAGTGCTGTCTTGTCTTGGCTGTCAGTGCTGTCTGCAGGCAAGGTGCAGATCTCTTCTGTAGAGTATCACGAAGCCAACGCGCATCGTGCCATCAAAGAGTTTGCCTGCAACGGGACGGGCCGCCTCCAAGACTCGTGTGCCCTGCGTGGTATGCTGCTCTCTGCTCGACACATCTGTTGTGGCGCGCCCGCTGCTTCCTGTCCCATGTGATCCAGGCTCGCTAGGATTTTCTCGAGTTCGTCCAAGCCGCTCAGCGACAGCGCTTCCGAAAGCCTTTAGATTAGAATCCCTGACTTTCCACTTGTGTAAATACATACGGTATGAAGAGCCTTGCTTCTGGACGGGCGTGGAGGTGCACCAGCGCTCGGCCACGAAACAAGGGCTTTCCTTAATCGGGATCTTGCGAAGGTGGCTGTTTTCAAAACAGAGCATACTGCGAGCTTCCACACGCCCAGCACACGTCAATGACATCCTCCTAGCCAGCTCTCCGATGCGTCAACGGTTCCGGTGTTTACGGTTCAGAACATCTGCCATCGGCCGATCATCGGCCTCATCATCCTACACGAACCCTCGCACACCCCGTTGATAAAATTGTAGGCAGAGTCGCGTTCGCCCACCAGTGCCTCTTCTGCTCCTCGAAGCTGCCCCATGCCTTAGCTGTATGGCATCAGGATTCACCCTACAAGTGCACCCATTCTCACGATGCACAGGTCGTGGCTTAAACTCTCTGTTAAACATGACGGACATCGATCCAGGCCGCGAGGTCGAAATCGCCGGGAGACCTCTTCCCCTGCCAAGCTGATGTGCAGTGGGAATGCAAAGGTAGGCTCTTGGGTTTGACCACCGGATTTGGAGACTCTGAGCTTGGCATGGCTTGGGCCACTTGAATACCTGTAAGTCCGGAACCAAACAAACCCAAATGTGTGACAGATTTGATTCAACTGAAGATTTTTTTCGTGTCACCCTGACATCGCGCCTCTTGCAGCGGACGAGATTTTTCATGGAGCCATCCGTCCATCTTCCTGTTACAAGGTCGACAATCTCGAGTGTTCTCTCGAATTCGAGATCTGTCCAGAGAAAAGGCTTTCCTTCTTTTGCGGGATCTTGGGGCCCGGAGGGCGGAGGGACAGCTGCAAGAAGCATGACTGGAGCACCGAAAGCAACACCGGCAGAAGAAAACAACACAAGAGCTCCACTGCGAGTTCATCCGCCAGGGTGCTCTGGGGGAATCAAGATCTCTTCCAGCACTTCGTCCAGTTCGTCGACTGGTGCGACGATAACACCCGCTGCTCGACTCCGATTGCAGAGTTTCAGAACCACCTCGCAAGGGCACTTGAGGCTGTTGATGTCAAATGCGCCCAGTATTCTTGGGCCTTAGGAGTGCACTCGTTTGGGCACGGCCGCCCCGCGGGACTGGGTGCAGCCTGTGCTCGAGCCTTGTCTCCATCCTCGAGTTGCAAGTCTTCCGTGATCTGATCCTGGATTCGGGAATCATGAAGAAACCCGACAGCTTCGGTTTGGCCACAAATGGCGGTCCCAAGGTAGGCGAACAGGAGCCGAGACTCTGCTAGCTGCATGTGGTAGTGGCGCGGGTAGCAGCACTGACCTGGCCGTGTCAAGATCTATTAACAGGTCTTCATGCGGGGTTTTCCGCTGGGCGGCCTGTGCCTTATGCAGGGGCCTGGTACCACAACTCCCGCTTCAAGTATCGAAGACTTTCGAGACCTCGACTCTTAGTTCTACTAGGCAAAGCCTGGGACGATGTGGCCATAGCCAGCGAGCTCCATGAGGTCATGCGTCAGCCTTGGCCAGGTCATCTTTTGCGTCGGGATAGATCTCCTCTCTTGGGGGCTCATGCTGGCCTTCCCAGTACGCCATGCTTGCTGAATGGTATGGTGAGGAGACTATTGAGTTGGCTGACTGGGTGCAGCACGCAACCCCGAAGAAAGAGAAGCAACACTTCATTAAGATTTTGCTGCAGTGAGCGCTTTCGCCCGACTGGCTTCTCGAGCTTTGTGCCGAAAAAAGTGTCTGTGCTGTGACACTTTCTTGCGCATACAGGTCGGCAGCCATCGTTCACCAACGCATGCTGCATGCGAACATGTCTCGGATTGTTTCAAAACAAGCCGAGTTGGCTAATGTACGAGAACAGACTTGGAAAAGGGAGCTACGCCAGGCAAGGAGGCCCGGAGATGGCGAGCTGGTAGGACGCGACTGTTGATCAGGAGCGCATGACCAACTTAAGACAGCTGTGTATGTACACGCTCTGAACGCCCCGAATCCCAAACATCCAGTACCTGTAGTAGGACGAAGCAGCTTCTTGTCGGCCGAGATCACGTGAAACTTGCGGAGCACGCCGCTCTCCTGTTAAAAGGATTTCAGGAGCGTCACGATTCCGATTCTGGTTGCCTCTACATGTTCACGCCTCGAGTTGCATCCATGCATTCAATACCAGGTTTCTTGCAGGAAGGTCTGATCGGGGCTCAAAGCAAGCCTCTTGCGCGAGCGCAGGCTTCTTGCACAAGCGGGCTCGGGGCAGAACAAGCTGACGACACACCTTCGCAGCTCTACTACATGGCTCTTGGGATTCAAGGGGCGACATCTCTCAAAGTGTGCTCAGCCTTCCCGAAACTTTGAAAAACCATGTGGCCATGGGAAGGACAGGGACTAGGACGATCCCTTCCAGGCTCATCGCACAAGTGATGATCGAATTACGGGCATACACCACAGCCGCCCTCCACCGTCTGTGCTAAGCCTTCCGGACCCCAACCTTGTATCTCAGTTCTTCAACCCCGGAACATCTCAAACAAGGGCGACTTCAAGCTGTGCTCCTTGGAGGTGTACCTTGACTGCTCTCTGGAGAATCTCTCTGCAAAAGACTGTGCTGGGAGCCCGGTGCGCTTTGTCCGGGTTCGGCTACCCGGCCCCTGTCTCATCAGTGGACGCCTTCCTTCCTTTATAGCTTTCTAAAAAAAGCTCCTAAATTAAAGGAGAAACGAGTCCTGGCCGGGTTGCCTATTGCGCATGCAGTCTTGGAGTGCAGCGCCGTCCCCGCTAAACTTGGAGATCCGGCCGTCGCCCGTCTCCAGCACGCGCACGCGTTCGAGGATGGGCTTCGAGCCTCAGGGCGAGATTGGCACAGGAAGTCCCTCGCAAAGACGGCCTTCGCTCTGGGTCACCATCGTACTTCAAGTCCAGGATGCCCCAAAACCTTGGCTAAGACGCAAAACTAAAGCTTCAGCCAGTCCATCAAGCTAGCCGAGGAAGCGAAGGCTAGGGCTGAACGACATTGCGCTTCGTTAGGCAGAAAATGGCTGGTGACTTGACGTCTGCGACGGGTTGGAGATCGAGCAGAACAAGGTCTGGGGAAGGTTGGGACGAAAATCTAGACTGCCAGTGAGAGAACTTGTGTGTAGGCGGCTGCTCTGTTGTGATTCTCGGTGCGAGGGCTGCCAAGCAACACGGCCGGGATACGGTGATCTTCCTCGAGAAAGGGAGGTCTTTCCATGCTCAAGTCCTTGGTGACTTGAGTCTGTGCGGGCTAGGGGTAAATCAGCGCAGCGCGACATTGCTTCGAGCAGAGCTCATTCTGAACGATGACGTTCTTTTTTCTCGAATTTTCAGGTGGGTGCTCAGAATGCAGTGCCAGAAAGCCTCTTGGAGTTCTTGCATAACCGACTTTGCCAGGAGGCCAAGTTCATGAAGAAGTCCAAAGCATCAGGGCCCTCGACGGCTGTGATCCAGGAGTTGTCAGAGAACTGGCTCTCGGGATCCTGGCGAAGCCAAACAAAACCCACCACCAAAGTCATTATGAATCGTCGTGCTGCAGGCGCGCGGCTCAGATATGTGTCAAGGGCAATCGCGTCTGCCAGTCTCGAATCTCTTCTTCACTGTCGCCGAAAGCGACTTTGAGATCACCGTGTCAGAAATTCCGCACTTAGGAGTTCCTAGCTAGAAGGAGTGATCTGCCGAGCAGCGCCGGCACTGGCGGAGAAAGGACACCGTGTCCTTAGTTTCGGGGCTGCGACGCTGCAGCCAAAACGAATGCCCAGGGACAAGCTCACTTTTGTGCAGCAAGCACTGATCTTAAGAGACGAGGGCCACAACGCGAGAGATTAAGACCCAAAGGACACCGTTTGCATTGCTTCCTAACAACAAATTCCCGATAAGGCCTTTCAGACCTTTCAGTTGGTAGGTGGCGCGAAAGCCCAGCTCTTTCTGAGCACAAGCGTCTCTTGGAGAAGCAGCAACCGACCCAGACTGCTCAAGCGCTGGCTGACTCCTCCCGGAGACACAGATGGGAACCATGTAAGACAAACTTCTCAGTGGAGGGCAAGCAAGGTAAGCACACTGAAATCTTTGGGCTTGGGGGCACACAGGCCTTCAGTGGTAAACCATGAGAGGCTGCGGAAGGGAGAGTATTGGAGAAGATTTGCACGGTGTGAAGGTTAAGGCTGGAAGGCCTTCAGCAGGCGTTTTGGATTTAAACAGATGTAATCCCTGAGGTAACTAGCCAGGACACGAGTTTCTTCAAACAGAACTGCCTCGGTATCACATGTCCTACAAGGAGCCACAGTGGATTTCGGGTCAGCATATAATCCTATAGGAGGGCTAGCTCTCAAACCCAATACATGGCTTTCGCAATGCTTTATGGGCTTTGGAAAATGGTTTCAACAAAAGTCGCCAGAGATTGATGATTACTCGGACTCCGTCAGATCAGAGAAAGGTCTTCTGTGCTCGCGTGTTGCTTGGTGGCCGAGCAAGAATTTAATGGAGGAGTCTTGGGGACCCTTTTGGGGTTTAGTTTGCATTGGAAACTGCTTTTTTGACTTGCCGCTGATTCTTCACGGCAGTACCCACCCCAAGCACTGACTGTTTTCGCTACCGTTAGGGACCTGGCCTCGGTCGGTTTTCCCGAAAAGTGATAATACACTGATCGCTAAGCGGTGTCTGTATCATCGGAGGCACAGGTGGCTTGCGATAGTTGTGAGTCGTGGTTGTCACGCCACAAACATACCAGAGTGATCGGGTCATGAAGGCGTGACTGCGCTCGCAGAAAGCTCCCAACCGAACAGACACAATGCAAGAGCTGCTGACAGCACAAGTCTGGCACGGGTGCTCGCTGAGCCTGCCGATTGGAACGAATAAACATTCACTCCCCATGTGGGGTCTCTGGCATATGAGTCTGTGTTGCAGCACGCGCAATTGTAGTCTCCTGTTTCTCCGTTGGGCTTCCGACCATTGGCATGCTGGAAATCAGAAAAGCCTTGCCTGTAGCAAGTGTCGGCGCAGTCGGCGAGTGAATGGCAACCAAGCCAACCACCCTCGCTGCACCAGCACAGCTCACACACGCTCGAGTAGGCTTGATTGCAAAACCGTCTTTCCGGGAAAAGATCCGCTGCGCCGAAGTCGTAAACATTCACACCCCATTCAGGGTCAGTGGAGGGTGGCGAGTCTGTGCGGCAGCATGCACAATTGAAATCCCCCTTTCTCCGTTGGGCTTCCGACCATTGGCATGTTGAAAACGAGTAAACCCTTGCCTGGAGCAAGTGTCGGCGCAGTCGGCGAATGAGTGGAACCCAAGCCAATCATTGCTGCACTTGCACAGCTCGCAGATGTTCGAATAGCCTTGAAGGACGCCCTTCCATTGGTAGATGCTGGTCCCAACCATTGGCCCAGTGCTGAAGGAGGCCGGCGGGTCGATGCAGCACGCGCATTGACTAGAACTCTCGCGAAAGTGAAAAAAATTGGTTTTGAGCTCACAGCTCTCGGCACAGCTTTCGACCCCTGCTGCAGAGAAGTTCAGGGCTGCACATTCACAATCGCCGCAAACCGCTTCGATACTGCTGCTGGCAAACCTTGACGGGCCATCGGCCAGCACTTGGCGTACGAAGCAAAGCGGCAGCGACCAGCGAAGCATCGAGACTTCTACACTCCTCATAAGCACATGTGCTTGAGATGAAGATGCAGCCGAAAAACTAGCAGCGGCCCAGTCGAACCGAAATCCAAGACTCGACCCCGAAACTCTGCACAACACATTCCGGCAGTCTTGTCGAAAGCTTGAAGCAGGTAGAGACGACCACAGGAACCTTGGATTCAGAACGAGCGGTCGAGGGTTCATGGGAACAGCAAGCATCATCTACCGAAGCTACCTTCTGTTTTGACATCTTCTAGGTCCTGCTTGTGAGAAACATCCAGCTCAAACCAAACTCCGCTCACAGCGACGCGTTCCTTGAAAAGACCGCACATCCTCAGACCAAGGTGCCCCCACCAACATGGATCGGACCTCGCGGGGTATGTCTCTCGAAGGCAGCTCCGAACTGTCGTTCCCACCTCAGTGCTTCAGCGCTTTGCAGACTTGATGCCGCAGGCTACGGCGAGGCAGCTACAGATACTTCCAACGTTGAACTTACTTCCATCCCAGTTGCCCGGCTCGAAGGCCAAATTCTCGCGGTCGGGCATGAACAGAATCGCGAGGTGGGGTGCAGGGAGGTCCTGCAGTTGCGGCCATAGGAAGACGCCGTCGAGGAAGCTCTTCGCTTCCGTTCGCTGTGCCCGTGATGCATGCGAAAGCAGGAAAGTCTGGTCGGTCCTTCGCATGCTGGTGGTTCGAGATGCGGACCGTGCTCGTTTGCCCCTCGCCAGACCTCGGTTGCTGATACCTTCTGCGCCCATCGCCCACGGCTCACAGCCTCAAAGCAAAACGGAAGGCTGCCCGGAAACCTCAAAGTTGGCTTCAGCTGTCTCATGCCATTCCCCAGGATGATCACCTCGCCGCGGAAAGTACAAAGCAGATTCGCATCCGGGGCTGTCTGTGGTAAGGGGAGGACCCCGCAGCTACAACAATGGGCAGAGGTGTATATGAACTCGTCGTAGACTCGTCGTGGTGACCCAAAGTGCAGTACTCAGTAGTGTGCCTCAACTGCACAGAGTGCGCAGCTCTGTGCAGCTCTGCGAGCCCTGGCCTGAGTCGGATCTCGGTCGAGCCACGCCGCCTCAGCCCACAAAAAGGCCCAGCGCAAAGAAGACGACGGCGACTCGAAACCAAAACGAGCTCTTCTCTGTGCTCTTTGTGCTTGAAGCAGCCGAAAGACATCTTTGAAGTATCCCTGCTCGGCAAGAGCACCTTCCACCTGAAAGGCTGTGGTTGTCTCGTTTCAGTGTACAAGGGAGCTTCTTAAGATTCGGGGAAGTAAGGAAGTCCTAGCCTGTTGCGAGTGATTGGGCCTTCACAAGGAGGCTACATAGTATCTTTTGGAAGAGTGTCTTTCGCACACGCAGCACCAGAAGAGACGACTACCCCAAGCATCTCAGCCTCATCTGTGGCCGCTAGCACCCAGATGACACGCGGCCCGCCGGTTCGGCGGTGAAGGCAGCCTCTTGCGCCTGGAGACGAACCTAAAAGGGCTTAACCAGCCTCAAGTTCTCTCCTGAGGGCTGTGGAGGCCCTGTCCGACACGACAGAGCTTGCAGGTGCTTGCAGGTCAAGGCTCCCAATGCCACCTGTGCGAAGGCGATACACCTGCTCAGATATGCGGAAGATTCAACCGGCATCAGGCGTTGTGTTGGACCACACTGCATGCAAGTTTTCGGGGGTCAGTTAGTATCTTCTGAGTCGAATGATCGTGATCCTCTTCTCCTTTCCTGCTGCAAGGAACGCCAACCGCTATGTGGTCTCTTGGGGCTAAAGCCCTTCCTTTTGTTGGACTCACTCAGAGCACGGCATCGCCTCCATGATTTCACCTGCACTCTTCTCAGGAGTACCTTCGACCTTCGCAATTGGGACCTTCTTGTCAAGGGTCGAGTCGATGGATGCAAAACACTTATACTAGTTACTAGTACTGCGCTCAGTGACGCCACGGGAGCCTGGCCCAGGACAGCGCTCGGCGTTCTAAAGGCGGCTCTGCGGCGTGCAACTCTCCTCAAGCGGAACCCCTCACGAGACTCGACTCCACCCTTCGGCTTCGGATGGTCGAGCTTAGGCTGGAAAGGTCCGCAGAGCAAAGCAACACGGTGCTCTCCCTGTGTTGAAGCCACGGGGCGGTAACCTTCGCAGAGCTCCAGGAGCGACTCCCAGTGCTCTTGCTCATGGTCGCCATTCTCCTGACAAGGTTCTCAAAAACAATTCACATCTCTCACCATCACTTCTCCCGCTGTGGCTTCTTTTCTGTGGTCCTGAGCCGGACGCATTTGCAACCCATGGCGTCTCAGGCATCCACAAAACTGTCGGGCTTTCTGGGCAGTATTCCAGTGAGGCAGCTGCTTGGCTGATCGTCGTGGGAACGAAGTCCTACTTGGAGAGGCGGGGCTTTGGATAAACACATCGCGCGTTCACCTTGAGACCTTGAAGGATCTGGTCGTAAGACGTTGGCTTTTGCGGCTTCGAGGTCGGGCTGGTGTCGCTCGCCTGTGTCACATGGCCATGTGGGTTGGGCAGCTTCGCCTTGGCTTCCTGAGCCCAAAAAGCTTTGGAAGCCCGACCCGCGAGTTCCAAACCACCTAGACCTAAAGCCCTTGTAACCATGCCTGCCAGCTCAGACGCAACACCAGCAATGTTCGGAACGGCGCCCCCCCCGTCAGATCATACCTAAGAAGTTGCTGCAAATTCTTGCAGGACTTCCAACTGTTTGCACGCCGAGCACAATGCGACCGTTCAGATGCGGTTTTTTGACACAGGATTCGATGTTTCATAGCTCTGGGAAGGGGTGCCCGAGGCTTGAACTTGGTTTCCATCTACAAACCCCGTCTGTACCGGTCGCAAGGTGGGCTATGTACAAAAACGTCTCGGGACGGAGACGCTGCCTCACTGCAGCCACTCCGCAGACTCGACCTGTCACGGTGCCCAAGAGAGAATCTGGTCGAACACCGGGTCCATGGCAGGCCTAACACGGGATCCTGAAGTCCTCAAGACCTCAACAAAGCGCAAGACGCGGAAGGCCCACAAAGTCGCACTGTGGGAAGTTCTGCCGGATGTAGTCGTTCCCCTGCTCCTTGGCAAGGCTGTCCGTGCTCGGCATAGGGAGTCTGTAGGATCAAGAAGACGTTGCACTGCGCAGTCTTGTGTGTCTGGGAACTGGCAAGCTGCCCAAACTCCCAAAGCTGAAACTTCCAGATTCTGAGATTCTAGACGAGGCCGGTGCCAAAATTTGCACTGGGTCAGGGCCGGTGCCGCCACACTGGGGCATGTCGCCATACCTTGGTGTTTGGGGCTTTTGGACGGAAGGGGCTCGAGGCCTTATTGCTGAAGCCAGGCTGCCCTGTGAAGAGCTTGTGTAGCCTCGGCAGGATACCAAGCCGTCGACGGTAACATTCAAAGTAGATTCGTAGATTCAGGTGTCTTTTCTTGCCGCTGTGCTGTTTGTGCCACTGGTGCGGAGCTAGATCATGCGACATGCAAACCAGTGCTGCCCCCTCTCACAGTGTGCTGACGTACCTAGCGTGCTCCGAACCCAGGTGCCCGGGGCCCGGGCACTGGCAAGGACTCCTCGTCAACTCTGCCAAAGGGCGTTTCCCAGCGATTCCTGGCCCACAGGCTTCCGCAGCAGATCACCCAAGCTCATAACCCGTAAGTTGAGGCCGAACTTCACCAGAGGGCACTCCAACTCCTCAAAGCTCCCACTGTGCGGGCTCAGGGGCTTTCCCAGCTGTGGGAAATCGTCCAGGAAGATGCAGACGGTTGCTACGCGGGAGTCCCTCGGCCGAGAGGGTAACGATTAGAAAGCCTAACATGGAGGTGCCAAGCACAACCCAAAAGGCGGTATAGGGCCCCGAAACCGAACCAAACCTCGCTTCTGACAAGGTGGCAGTGCAGTGCGAGTTGTATGGCGATGTGTGACCATGCTCTTATTATCTGTCTGATACTCACGAAGTCAACAAAGTTGCCATGGCTCATCCACTCGTTTCAGAGCTCCCAATCGCCAAAGCGGGAAGAATTGAAAGACCTGGGACTCCTGCGGTGCGGCCGCTGCGAAGGACACCATGCCCTCCTCGCGAAGCAGAGCGGTCGTGCCATGCGCGATCCTATGCTACTTCGGGGCTTCAGATCAGGCGCAAAACCCAGCAGGTGGGCCGTTCAGCAGAAAGGCGCATGAGAACTCCTTCTTCCCCGCCCTTCCCTGGCAGTCCAGGATGGGCACTCCCCTCAGCTCGTCGTCTTCCAGGGCCTGCGCTTTCAGGCGTCCGCTGCGTAACGCTCCGGGTCCGAATTTCGAACGTTTATGTCGGGAGTTTTCGAAGCTGCTTGAATGTGCAGAAGGCTGTGGCTTCAACATCACGTCCGCCTTCATCGTCCGCTAGCAGTTGTTTTCTGCATTTCTGAACATGCCACTCCAGACCATGGCAAAGCAAAGGTCGCGCTTCTCTACCTTCGATGCGCATGCGTTCAGTGAGCAAGGCGATCCGAGGTCCTGACACATCACAGATTGAAGGGAGTTGATCCCTGTTCTTCCACACGAATCCTGCCGACCCCCTTTCTGAACTCAGAGCACTGTTTCCTACTTCGCGAACTGTGTGTCATTTCTTTGTTGCGCCTGGTACTTGGAGCTCCTTTCCATGTCGCCCGTGACGCCAAACTGAACCAAAAAACTCGACACCTGAGAAAGCACGGGCACCGGGAGTGAGGTTGAAATGGTTCTCGAGCATGTGCTGTTGGCTTGGACGAACAAGGGAAGTTTCGCAGGACTGACGTAGTTACAGATGCGAGCTGCTTTGGGCAGTGCGGTGTGCGCCTTCGAGTCTTACAGCTGCGAAACCCTCAGAACCCCCCAAGGCACTGCGCGATAGACGGCGAGATCTGTGTAGTACCTGCTCTGGCTTTGGCTCTCGGGACATCGTGTCCCCGAGACCGAACCAAGGACTGCTCTTGTTTGTTGTTACATAAAGAGCGCCTTGCAGCACCTGTAAGACTTGACGTTCGCTTCCCTCTCTTCAGACATGATGGCACAGGCAGACTGGGCACACTGGATTCTCCCTCTCTCACACGCTGCACGCATCTGCACGCATCTGCACGTGGCACTTGTCCGTTACCAGCTGCAAGAAGCGCTGGGCACCCAAGGGAGCCCAGCCAGGTACCACCCTGAACAAACTCAAGAGACAGCTCGTTGACGTCAACTCGGCGAGAAGAGACGCCGTTGGCGTGCACTGTGTCAGGCATCATGTGATGCAGAGTGAGAGAAGACGCAGGGCAGCAGGAGCAGACATAGGCATGTTGCTTGAAACGACGAAGCAACCAAATCCATGATGCCGGAGTCTCCTTCAAGCCACAGAAATACAATCGACTTGCCCCTGTCCCGCAGAGGAATCCGAAGCAAGGCTCTACAAGGAACTCTGACGGAGACCTCATCTTGAGGAGGCCCTTGCCTGGGCTATTGAGCGAAGGAGTTCGGGCTTACACTGCGAGAGCCTCGAGCTCAGGAATCGCCAAGCAAATGATTCAGTGCCACAGAGCAAAGCCTCTCAGAGGTGCTGGACTGCGCTCGTTAAAGTCTACGAAATGCAACCAGGCTGCTGGTCTTCAGCGCGACCCTGCAGACCTGGCGAAAGGCAAGGCCGGCTGTGCGGGGCTCTTGGCTTCGCTTCGGATCCGTATCTTCGTGGTTTGAAGTGTCAAAGACCTTGTGCAACTGGCAGAGAGCGCATGGCCCTCACCAAACAAGTCAGGATGTCATGTGGTTGGCACAAATCCTGTGCCTGGCAGTAACTCTGGAGCTGGAGATCTTCCAGAGGAGCTTCTCTGGTCAAGAGCATACTTGACACACATCATGCAATGATATGCGGCTCTCGCCTTTTGGAAGCTTGTTTCGAAGCAGGTCGGTCAAGGAGAATGGGGGCGGCGAGTCTCTGCTGCCGCTCTACAGTGCCGGCGGAGCATTAAACCGGGCATGCAAGGGTCTGCATGCATAAGATGGAATGAAAGAGCGCCTGGCTAGAACGTCTGTTGTGTCGGCTCTTGCTGAAATCCAGGTACGGACCCCCGGTACAAGCAGCAACGTGCAGGCAGCACGACGTCTTGCGGCGTCTTCTGCAGGCACTCTAGGGACTGCATCCTCGCAAGCGATAGGAGCAAACCGCTGCTAGTCGAAGGCTTCGGACAACCCGGGCCTTCCCCGAAAGCATCCAGGTTTCAAGCCTTCACGACCCTGAAACTTGCCCACCGAGCTAGTGAGAAGCTTCCTGAAAGCCTGCACTATCCTAGGCCAAAGCCTGACTTGCTCAGAATCTGACACTTGAGAGGCGTCGCACTCTCCACGAATGACCTTGCAATGCTATAGTCTTGGGCACCAACTTATGACAGCTCGACTCACAACCTACCAACTTCCCTCTAGAGCCTCTCAGTAGAAGGCTTTATTTGAAGGGGGGCTGGAAGTTCCGTGCTTTCCGACTTTGCTCTGCCCAGGGCCAGAACATGCTTTATACCCCACTTGCCGATGTCATTCTTCTCCATGACCATCCTCATCGGAGCAGCTCGGATGGGACTTCGGCAATAGGGTTGGTGGAGTTTCGCAGTCTTGTCGTTAAGGTCACGAAGTCAAGCGCCTTTCTAGGGCGAGCTGGTTGACACGTGCAGCTTTTGGAAATGGGCGGCGTGGGGGAATGTGGTGCTTTGAGACGCATGATCAAACACAGGTGTTCTCGGCACATGCTTTTCCCACCCGGCCCAGAATCCTCAAGGGCTGAGGACACTCAGGCTGCGGCTGGTCACCGCCTACCACATTGTTCGGAAGAGGGATGCGGAGCACCACTTCATCCGGAGCGGACACCTGCCGCAAGATTTTACGCTGACCTTAGACATCAACTAATATCGCCAGATTCTCAGCTTTCACTTTCCGACAACTCATCTCCCAATGCTCAGCAGCTGTGCTTGGGCGATCCATCTCAGGCATGCATGAGCCCAGTGCTGGGAGTTCCGCTATGTCCGCGGAAAGTCCCGCACCAATAGAACAGTGCTCCATTCAGCAGTGCACTGTTGGATAGCGGCGGGCGCACATCACAACAGAATTCCTGGAGATCTAGGCACGACCGTGTTTCATCAGCTGCATATGTTGAGGATTTCCTCGCGTCCAGATCTTCAGCACTGCCCAAAATGCCTAAAACAGGTTGCAAGGATGAGTCGACTGCCTGCCACAAGGACAGTGTCGCAGGTGAAGCGGACCCTTGTCCCTGCTGACGAATTTCTGTCAAGACTGCTACAAGGGGATGCGTCTTTTCCTACTTCTGATTGCATCCTTCTGATTCGTGAATGCCCATAGTGGCTTCAAGGTTGCATCCCACTGTGGCAGTCCTGGCTATGCGTAGAGCAACCAATGAGATCGGCGCCTCAAACGCGAAACATCCCCAAACAGAAGATAGGCAGGTTTGGCGAGTGGGCAAGTCCCGATTTCAGTTGCTGGCTCCACTGTTCGAGGCCCTCCGCTGGGGACTTCATACCCAGAGACAGGGCCTCTTTGTCGGGAACTGCGTGGGCAGGTGAGTTCACTGTTGGACTCGCCCGGCTCGCTTCACATGCATTGCAAAGAGCTGCTTTTTCTGTCGAATTTTTGCAAGCCTCCCAAGGAGTCAAAATCCAGTTCATGCCTCAGATGCAAAGTGCCATCCATCGGGCTGCCTTCTGGCGATGATGGCCCGAGGACGGCCCACGATGTGCTGAGGTGCCCAAACGCCGGTCCAGCTGTGATCCACGGATGGCTGATTGGCCATGGCGTTGTTCGACTCCACCTCCACGGGGTAGTGTTGCGGAGGAGGGCCATTGGGGCGGAAGACCTGTCCAGAATACGGACTGGGCCTGTACTCCACGCCGCCTTGGTACTGGCTTCCCGCCTTGCTCCAATGGCCTCGCTGCTCATGGATGTGTCCGAAGAGGTGCACTTTGGGCTTGGTGCGGTAGATGGCGTCGAGCAGCGCCGTGCTGGAGCCCCAGTGGCCGCCCCCAGTCATGTCGAAGATTCCAAACGGTGCCTCGTGGGTAACGACGATGTCAACACCTTCGGGGATGTCTGCATAGTTGTTTCCGGACCGGGAATCTCCTCTCCGAGGATGCCAGCCGGCGCCCCAGATCTTCAGGCCCATGACCTCGGCGAGATCGTGATTAAGGACTCGTGCATTCGTGATCCTGTGCTGGAAATAGGCCGGATCCTGGGCGACCTCGTTGGAGATATGTCCGCGGTTCAACCTCCAATTGGTGTCCCAGAAATCGTGGTTTCCAGAAATGACGAGGATGTGCTTGTACTTCCCCTTGAGGCTACCAAGCCAGTCGTTGAAATCGCCCAACTCACTCTCTGAACCGACCTTGGCCACATCCCCCGAATGAATCAGAATGTCGGCATCCGGCAAGTTGCCTGTGCTTCGATGGAGGCTATGCGTGTCGCTGATGTGCAAGATCCGGACAACATCGGGGCCCTGCGCTTGGCCTCCGCGCTTGACCTTCAGTCCAGCTGTAGAAGCCTCGCTCTTGTCTGCAATTGGCGGGACAGGGTCGACCGCTTTTGCTTTCGTTGCGTTCGCGGGCAGCTCTGTCTTGGAGCTCTCTGTGGCTGTCCCGTTGGTTCCCTCTGCACTGGCGACGGCAAGCAGGAACGCAATTAGCGATGCACGAAGAAAGGCCATCGAAGAAAGCTGGATGCCCAAGCCTGGAGGAGCCTTTTGAGTCCTCTTTGAGCCTCCTTGCCTTGTGGCAGGACAAGTGAAAGGCACGCAGCTCGGGGCAAACCGTCCTGGTCTCAGAAATCTCGCAAGGAAAGAAAGGGTTTAATGCCGAGCACCAACCCTGCTGCGTCTAGGAGTCTAGGCATGCACGAGCCCAGTGCTGGGAGTTCCGCTAT